TCACTCTCTAGTCAGTTGGCGGTTAAGTTGTAATAAAGCAGAATTTATTTAAAAAGAAAGAGAACAACAAATCTGAAATGTTTTCCGTTTTACTAGATTTGCTTACCATTTATTTACCATGCACTATTTTCTTACTGTTGCAAGTTTTTGACAACTATGGTTTCCTAGTCTGATTTGCACTGATGGAAACTAGAAAGGAATGAGACCAGTTGCCATATAGAATCTTGAAAATAATTATTAGAGTAATACTTTATTTAAAATATGTTAGAAATAGTTTTTAGGGATGCTAAATATACTGCAGATAGATGGAACTACATGTACATCCTCTGTCATGCTTCGGATACTTTTTTTGTATTAAGGTCTATTTCTTACGGTTAGATTTTTCAATTAAGTGCTGATGATCTGGAAATGCCCTCACTGAAGCTCAGACTCTCCTGCTTGTATTATGGCATTTAAACTAAAACAGCAAGAAATCAATTCAGTTGTTTGTGTTGTAATTGACTGAATAGTAATTGAGACACAGGATATTGAAGGGTCAAAGTGAGAACCATACCCAGAAAATATATTTGTAAATCATTTTCACAAGTTTTTAATCAAAAATTGGTTCATAATTGAATTATACCTTTAATTTCATATGTTAAATAATTTTCATAATCTGGGCACATCTTTGCATTTATGTTACAATTACTGTATCCTTTACATACAATACTACTTTCAAAAATTCAGTTCTCAAATCACAGATACTGGAAAAGGTGTGGCTTGCAAGGAGTAAAGTGATGGTCTTTTTAGTATTAAACTATGGTTGTGATGAAGGCTTGTTTTGGTAAACAAGTTGTTTCACTTACTTCTGGTGTCCAGGCTATACTGGGGCAGGCAGCTGTGTGAACCGGGGAGAAGGTGTCCCGTGTCACTCAGTTCACAGTCCTCACAGTGGCCTCTGTGCTGCCCTGTGGGAAGGCATCTCCTAATGACAGGGGGGCTCCTGAGGTGGTCTGAACACACAAGGAGTAATGCTGGTCCACCTCTGCTTCAAGTTCCCTGCTCCTGACTTTTGCAGGGAGATTCCTGGGAGATTTTTCTGCTTCAGCTTCTTAAAGTCTGACAATCTCTTCCAAGTCCCCAGGGGCCTCTGCTCTGCATCAGGCTAGTGTAGAGTAATTGCTCAGCAGAGTAGGGAGCCCACCCACCCTGACTGCCCTGCGTCCCCACGGCACAGGCATGCACTCGTGGCCAGAGAAAGGTACTGTTTCCCTGGCCTGGGCCACCACTTCATGCTTGCTACAGCACTCACTTGCCTTCTTCAAGTGTCATCCTTCCACTTGGCCCTCTCCTACACTCTGGACTAGAACATATTGACAGAAAGGTCTTTTTTCTTCCCATTTGTCTGGGGGCTTTCTCTGGCTATCAGGTCTCAGCAATACAGAGGAGGCAGTCTAAGATCTGAAATGGCCTTCTGCCCAACAAGTTGCCATGACTGGTTGCACATCCCTGTTGTTTTGATGCCCAAGGTCTGGTAGTATGGAACCTATCTAGCTGGAGGGCTGGAACATGGAGGAATGCTGCCTGTCTGATTGAGCTGCACTAACCAACATGGTTTTCATGGAACACCAGCTGTACCAAACACCAGGCCTAGGGAACGAAGGCTGACTGGGTCCTAGCTTGCTCTGGTCCTTAGGCTCACAGGACACTCATTTTCTCAAAGAGGATAATGCTACTATTGAAAGGATATAAAGGTGGGAAGAGAAAAGATAAATAGAAAATGGAATAGGAACGGAACGTGTGCATTAGTCAGCCTTTTCAATGCATAATAAAAAGCATTTATATGAGATTAAATTCAAGTCTTGTGTAAGTGAAAGGGAGATACTGTACTTGTTTTCTGTAAGAGACTGAATTTTATCTAAGCAGCTTTGAATTTAAAAAAAAAAAGTAAAAAGCTGCTCAAATTTTGACATCTCCAAACTTACCTCTCCTAAAATATTTTTAATAATCTGATAGCTCCTTCTTACCTGCTAGTTTGCTTTCATTCTGAAATCACCTGTTGGTTACTTGCTTTCTTTCTGTGGTTGTTTTGTTTTATTGCTTTGCCCTTCAACTCCCTTCCCTAGCACTTTTAATGATATTTCCTCCACTACAGAGAGCTTCAATACTGTTCGGTATTCTGCCTTGTAAAAAAGAAAGTACAAAAAAAGCACATTAAAATATTAATACTTTGTTGTCACTCTTTTAAGGATTGTACTGTTGGGGATAAAAACAGGCACCAGCAAGAATGTAGAGGAGTAATAGTGGAAAAGATAAAACAACTACAGCTTATCATACTAAAACAAATCTTTCTTTGCTATGTGTATGGTGAAATAAGTTCATGTAGACTTAGTAATTCCTTTGTAAGTATTTAGGAAATCTCTCCACCTCTCTTTGTTCCCTCAGTCTAAATGTTCCTGTATTTCTCTGCATGTTGTACTTGGGGAATTAGGAATTCCCAGTATGTGTTCATATCAATAAACATATTGGATGAACTGAATATGTTCTGCAATCTGTTTCATAGAGCAGCTCTGCTAACAGAATCTAATGGTCCTTCCTGAGCTTTGAATATATGTGAAGCATCTGGCTTTGCTAAGAAAATGAGGCTAAACTGTAGATCTTCCTTTACAAAGCATGAAAGCAGAGTGTGGTGCGGCTAAGCTACTGTCAGAAAAGTTACTCTCTTCCTAAAGATAACCTGTCCCCTTTTCACAAAGACCTGGTGTTTGCCATTTAGATAGGGCTTACAAGATACAGGTTGGAGTTCTTTAAGGGGAGAATTAGATAATTCTGCTGTGTGACTGCAAGCTAAGGCAGTTCTCAGGACCTTGCCCTTTAACTTGTCCTATCACTATAACAGAATAAAGAGCTGATCTAGCTCAGGTCTTTGACAGTAATCATGCATGAGCAGTTTGGCCAAGATCTGATATTGCACTTACTGCCAGGTCACGGGGAGAAATCTTCAGGTCATTTTATTTCTTACATCTTACCTGTGCAATGGAAAGACAGCTTAGTCAGTGCTGAACAAATGCCATGATCTGACTAAGGATTTATATAGGACAACAGCACAAGAGAAATGTCACGTTTCAGACACTGTGGTGTTTTGGGTATTTCCTTCAGACTCTAGGGCCACAGAAGTCAGTGGAAGCCCTGCCACAAATTGCAGAGGTCCAGCCCTGTTCAGAATCCATCCCCTTGGTGTCAACCTTGCAGAAATCCTCTGTGTCACTCCTATTGGGCCATCAGTCGAGGTGCTCTAGGATAAACCCCTTTAAGCCAGCTCTAGTTACTTAGTTTATGGGCCAAAACTAAATGGCCTCATTGCTGCTTCTCTTTTACATGGAACTTACACACATCAGTTAAAGCAATTAAAAGGTTATGTCAGAGAGTTCCATTTTTCAGTATCTGTCAAAGACACCTGGGCAATTCCTCTGGATGGTGGCTCTGATTTAGTGTGTGCCCTTTCAACCAGACAAGTGTCTGCTCTGTCTGAAGTGCAACACGATAAAGAGGTAAGGAATAAGCAATATAATTTCTGTTATTGCAGGGACAGAACATAAGTGACCACAGCTGCAACTGGAAACTCACATAGGATCCAGGGGAATGGCATGAAGCTGTATCAGGGGAGATTTAGGTTGGATTCACCCAGAGGGTGGTTGAGCACTGGAACAGGCTCCCCACAGAAGTGGTCACAGCACCAAGCCTGACAGAGTTCAGGAAGCATTTGGACAACACTCTTGGGCATATGGTGTGATTCTTGGGGCTGTCCTATGCAGGGCCAGGAGATGGACTTTGATCATCTTTGTGGGTCCCTTCCAGAATAGGATATTTTATGATTCTACGATAACCGTGGAACTTGTCATTTTAACATCTTTGCAGATGATGTTTGCTTTTCAGACAGAAGCTGCACCACCCTGGCTCACCTACCTCTCGGCATACCTGTTTGGGTTTCCCATGGCTACACCGGCCCCCCTGGCCCGGGCACCCCACGCAGGACGGCAGCGGGGAGATGCCCCCCGGGGCTGCATAGGTGCTGTCAGCGTGAAGGAGGGCTGCTCCCTGAGTCCTGCCGGTGCCGCGCAGACTGGGGGAGCATCCCACCCCCTCTCTGCTACCCTAGTGGGGGCTTTTTCCTTTTCCTTGCAAAGCTTCCCTGCAGGGCAGCTAAGGACATCCTGGGCAGGCTGACCGATCCCGGGAGAAGGAGAGAGGCGGAGGAGACAATCCCCTCTCCCTGCTGCTGCTGCTGCTGCTGAAGCTGTGCTGGAGCCGGAGCCGTCGATGTGGTTCCCCAGAGTTAGTTGCTCAGCAACCAGAATCAATTAATATGCTTTGCAGAAAGTGCAGGGGAAGCCCGAGCTGCTGTCAGCGAGCAGGCAGGAGGCTGAGGGTGACTCAGGATCCCACTCCCACCTGACACCCATTTGGTCCCACCCCGTCTTCTCCAAACACTCCATTAGCCATCATTCTTTTCCCCTCTCTCCTTCCCTATGATACTTAGTGCGTGTGTCCCCAAATCCTTCAGGCAAAGTACCTTCTTCCTCAAGAAACCTTCTGCTTCGAGGGTTTTGGTTTTAGATCTGATTTGTATTTTTGGGTTATTTGTCAAACCTCCAATACTTTTCTAGAAATTCTAATATTTATGTTCTTTGGGAAGGGGATAGCTGATGTTTTTGTCAGATAGTTTTAAAGATGTCTCAGGATGAAAAGGGTTGTTTGGTAGTACACAGTTGAGCAGCAGCAATGAAAATGCATCATGTGTGAATTGGGAAAGTTTTTGACTCTCTGTTTATTACAAATCATCAGCACTGGATATATGAGACCAAAGAGGTAGTATTAATTGTTGTGAAACACTTAGATAATAGAACAATTGAGGGGGTGTTGTGGTTTTTTCATATCTTCTCATTTTCAGCATAGTAATTTCAGGGCTTTGGTAAGGTATTATTTTCTTTTTTTCTTTCTTTCTTTAATTTTCTTTGGAGTCCCTCTGATGACACCACAAATCTGGGAATGAAGAACTTCTTAGAGCTGATTGGAAATGGCATTACGGAGCTGAAACTTAACTGGAGGAAATATATCTCCTGAAGAAGAAAATATAATGCACTATAAGGATCTGACTTCTGGTGAAAAATTCAAGCCTAGAGAAAACTTGTCCGCTTTGTTAGGAAGAATGGGTTGGACAATTTTCTTCAGTTCCAAAGGATATCTGAATGCCATGCTGAGCTTAATCTCTGCAGCATGCTCTGTGCTTCTCATCTCTTCCTGATGCACTGCATGGTAAGGCCTTTTTCCTTCTTTTTAATAATAACCATCTTTCTGATATGGTGAAGAGGTATAAAATAATAGCAATAGTGAAATGAAAATTGAAAAAAATGTAGAAAGGTAACAAAAGAATGTTTGTTTGTATGGTTGTTTCCAGCAGCAAGTGTCCTGATTACTGCAGCAGCTATGTAAGATCATTTCTGTCTTTCTCCCTTGCTTTGTGACAGTGTGTATGTGTGTGTGTGTGCGTGTTTGTTCCCACCTGTGCTGTCATTTGCGCTCGGACTGGAACATCTGTAGCTGTATTGTACATATTTCCATGCTAAAGAGGATGTTTAGGAATTTGCTTTGACATTTCTCTTTCTTTTTCCCTCCCTCCCTCCCTCCATTCCCCTCCTCCTGCCTCCCCTTTCTCTTGCTCTGTCTGTTTCTCTGGGGTCATGGTGCTATACCTTCCCTGCACCTCAGTTGTGCCCTGACCGCTAGAAGGCAAAAATGGAAGGTAAAATAAATTCCATATCAATGTAAGAATAGTCCTGAATAATATTTATCTGAGTAAATGAAGGCTATAGAACAGTTTTGAATTTCTGCAATATTGGCAGGTACCAAAGATTTACTCTGTTTTGTTTCCATGGGAAACAAATATCAAATGCAGACTTGGATCTGTGTTTTAGATACAGTGGGAGGCAGATCCTCTTATGCATGTCAGAAAGCCAAAAAACTACCACTGTGAATTATGATCCAGCTCATAAAATAAGCAAACCCAGTATGGAATGTTCTCATATCCAGTAATTTTTGTCACGTATTAGAGTAGTGTTGAGAATTATTAGAAATGGCTTCACTGAGTGTTGCAAGATATTTTTCACTAACAGGTGTAATATGGTTTCATCTTCCTGGATGAAAGGAGATATTATTAACTAACAACCCAACTTACAAAAATTTGGGGTCTTTGTCAAAAAATTGCCAAGCTGATCAGGAATTATACAGTGAATGTACTGAGATGGAAGAACAGGTTTATTTTCCAGAAAACCTGGTTACTTGGATCTCTGTTTCAGAAATTAGGGTAGACTAAATGATGAGAGAGTCATGATGTGAAATATATATATTTTCTTACACATCTTGGTTGATCACTGAGTTTGGAAGAGGAAAAGTTGAGTGGTTCTTGAGGAGTAAACTGTGGTAAGGGCCTGCCCCTGCTTCGAGGGTAACCCCTCACAAATCTGGCTGCTTTTAATGGGGTTGGAAATGGAACAGGAACAGGTTTGTGTGCTGGCTGTCACGGGCTGTCCAGCTGGGTATGGAGGTGATGGGTTCCCGGCAGCAGGTTTTGAGGGTGAGAAGGATGAAAAGAGCCAAAGCAAAAAGGCCAGGCCACAGCAGGACTCATGAACAAGAATCAGAGCTTAAATAGTATTCAAAAGATGTAATTTTGTGGCAGTTCCCAACAAATCTCCTCCTTGTATGATGAAAGACTCCATAAGGTAGTTTTTAAAGAGAGTATGGTAATGCAGCTTCTTCAAATCACTGCAACAGGAGGAAACAGAGATAACTAACACAATTCCATACTGTGACAGTATTTCAGTAGGGTTCAGAGGAATCAGCCTTGATTTTACAAGTAAAGGTTCAAAACCTTTGATGTGTGCATCAAAGTAGATATTTTGTGTATTTTACTATCTGAAATATTACATTCTAGTGTAAGAACGAATAAGCAAAACTGAGGAACGACAATACAACCATAAATGTCATCTTCAGTGTTAGAAAGAATCTCTTGCTTGTGGCAGTCATTTCCTCAGATCTCTATGTGAACAAGGACTGCATTCTAAATTCAAGTCTCCCATTGCAAACCTCTTCTCACACCAGCAGTTCTGTGTCAATCAATGGGACAACTCACGTGAATGTTATTGTTTAACCCCAGCCGGTAACTAAGCACCTCATGGCTGCTCAGTCACTTCCCCCTGGTGGGATGGGAGAGAGAATCAGAAAAGTGAGAAAACTCATATGTTGAGACACAGACTGTTTAATAGGTAAAGTAAAAGCCACATGCACACAAGCAGAGCAAAACAAGGAATTCAGTCACCACTCCCCGTGGGCAGGCAGGTGTTCAGCCATCTCCAGGAAAGCTGGGCTGCATCGTGTATCACAGTTACTTGGGAAGACAAATGACATAATTGTGAACATTCCTCTCCCACCTTCTCCTTTTTCTTCACCCCATTTATATGCTGAGTATGACACCATATGGTACAGAATATCCCTTGGGTCAGTTGGGGTCAGCTTTCCCAGCTGTATTCCCTCCCAACTCCTTTTGCACCCCCAGCGCACTTGCTAGTGGTGCAAAGGCTTTGGCTCTGTGGAAGCACTCCTCAGCAAGAATCAAAACATCTCTGTATTATAAATACTGTTTCAAGCACCAAACATAGCCTTATATTAACTACTAGAAAGAAAATTAACTCTATCTCAGCCAAAGCCAGCCCATTCTCCACTCCTCATTCTATACTACTTACACCATGCTCAGGTCCTACACTATTCAATACATCCTCATCAACCACCATCCTCCTTCCCATCTTTATATTTAATATGCAGATATCATTCCCTTACTCTATGGACCACCCTTGTAAAATGTCCAGAAATGCACATAAAATGTCCATTGAGTTCATTTAGTCCATGACTTCGGGCTCCATCTCTTATGGTGGTCACTCAGGATAGGAGAGGTCAAAACTAGCACAGTGAGTGAGAACTACTCATGTGAATAAATTCTGAAAGATTTTATAAGACCAGGATCTTTGATTGTCATAGCAACAGATTTATTAGGCTTCAGGCATAATTTGTATTTCCCTTCTAAACAAAATCATTTTTCCTTTTACCTATGCGATTCTTTTTGCCTTGTAATTAGGGCAAGAAAAATAGGTTAATTACATTCTTAAAGATCATGCAACTGTACAGATACACTGTTAGTGAAAAATTGTCAGAATATGCAAAACTTTACCTTTATTAGTGGCTTCCAAATTGAAGTGCAGCGTATTCTTACTGGAATCATTCATTGCCTTATTATTTTTCTGACAGTATTAACATTGCTACTAGGTATTGTCAATTTTTCCAGGAACCCATTAAAAAAAATAGTTCATTTAAAACATCACTGATCTAATAAAAGTACTCACTATTATTGGGTTCAAGGATATTTACCAAGCTTTTAACTACATTAAATAGGTTCATTTTTTGGTTAATACATGATGTTTAGCTCTTTAGTTGATCCAGGAATATGCTTATCTTTAGGGTAGAGAAACACAATATGAAATCGTAATTATAGTAAACTTCCTACAGAATATAGATATATATTCAAATAGGAAGGATAAAATCATCTGGATTTTATTTCCCTGTGCAATTTTGCATGCTTATAAATGTCTATATTATTAGGATATATATTACATAACAAGTAATATTTCATTATTGTTATTTGTAAAGAGCAGTTCCTTTTCAGAATACAGTGCATAGGATTTTTTTTGTACTAGGTTGTGCATTATGAAAGAAAGAAAAATATTAAGAAAAGCAAGTATAACAACCTTTAATATGTACCAGTACACTAATGCAGCAATATGTACATTGGTTTCTTTTATCACTATAATATACATAGCAAGAATAGTGGATTCTTTTCTAAAGAGCTTGTTATTTTGAGAGAGAAGGTTTTATATGATACCGGATGTCCATTGTCTTTATCCTACATTTCTGTCAATAATTGCTGTGACTTAAAACTCTTTCTTTAGCTGCATTTTAAATAATTTAAACACTTGCACAACACCTGCATTTAGCTTTCTCTTTCAATTCTAAAGCAAGTAAAATTAGTAATTTTCTTTTCTTTTAAGATACTATTCAATAAAGGTTTGATGCTGAGAACACCTGCATTTCATTTCAGTCCATTGAACTGTTTCTTTAGATAAACTATGTGAATTAGAGCTTGAACCATTTGCATTGTCAGGGAAGTTATACTGAGCAGTGGAAATACTTTCCACACTTGCAGCAACTATTTCTAGTCAAGACAAATGTGTTTTAAAAATATAGCACATAAGCAATTCCTGTACTTGGAATGCCTTGAGCTGTTTTCATTCAAGATCCAGCAAAAACCTGACTTTTGAAAGGCTTGCGAAAAAAACCCAAAACAAACCCCAAATTGGTCTTAAAGTTTTGGTTTTTAAATGTAAATGTCCATAGAAGGAACATTTATTGGTCAAGTAATTTCCATAGATCAGCATATCTGTTTTTCATAAACCAGGATAAAAAATGGAAGAGGCATAAAGTTTTTAAAAAATTTAAAGATCTAAAAATCTGTATGTTTGTAAATACTGATTTAAAAATGACACAACACTTCATTTTAAAATTTTTAATCAGACTTTCACTTGTTACAAGAAATTGTACTGATATCTGTTTGTCCGCTTTTCCTCAGTTAAATTTTGCAACAGTTTATTTCTCTTTTTGACAGTGAAATGTTTTGTTGTAAATTTTATAACTAGATCTTTTATAGCTCTCCCAATATTTATTGGCTCTCACAAGTCAGTTCTTTAATCAGAAGCTTTCTGAAGGGTTATCTTTAGCACTACACATTACATATCCCCAGATTACTGATACTGAACAGCAGTACTCACCACATCTATGGTAGACATAATCTGAGGGTATTTCCCTCCTTTAATTCTTCTTGTCTTCAACAAAAAGCAGGCCTCTATTTTGCTGAGTTTTACAGATACCAGAAGTAGTGCTTTCTACTACAAAAACCTTCAAGAGGCCTTCAAAAGGCACGTGGGCAAGGAGTAGAATTAATCGAGTATTAATATCCTTATTAAATAGATAAGGAACTGACGAACAAAGAAAACTGCCCAAAGCTATACTAGCAAGGGAAGAGTTCGGAATTGAACCCAAATGTCCTTATTCTCAGTTCATCACTGTCCCTGCAAGGTTGCTCTTCATTTTGTTCATTTTTTTTGCTTAATGACTTACATTTGGACTTTTAAGTTAATACTAGTTGAAGT